GGAAACTCTAATAAATATTAAACTCTGCACATTTATTAAGAAGTCCTCCCTTCTGTCCCTTGATGCTGAGATACATTTTAATATGTTGTTTGACAGGAAGCTTGGGACTTCCAGGTTTCTGACCTCATGTGAAAATAGCATAGTGTGCACTTATACTCTTTTTTTTTTTTTTTTTAAGTCGGAGTCTTACTCTGTCACCCAGGCAAAAGTGCAGTGCACCATCATGTCTCACCACAGTCTTGACCTCCTGGGCTCAGGTGATCCTTCTACCTCAGCATCCTGAGTAGCTGGAACTACAGCTGTGCCCCACCACACCTGGCTAAATTTTTTGTAGAGATGAGGTCTCGTTATGTTGCCCAGGCTGGTCTTGATCTCCCAGGCTCAAACAATCCTCCTGCCTTGGCCTCCCAAAGTGCTGGGATTACTGGTGGAGCCACTGTGCCTGGCCCTCCGTTTTGTATACTGCCTTAAAGGTAATACAAAGAGGTGTTTAAATGTTTGAGAAACAAACAAATAATGACCATGAGAAACAGTTGACAAAATAAAGCTTTGTTCATCATCTACATGCTCCACCTTTCGGACATATCTCTATTCCCTCACTCATCTCTGCAAACGCAAACTTTCCCAGATGAGCAAGGAGCCACAAGAAGAATCTTGGGCTTCTTGCTGGGTGCAAAAGCGTGATGACCAGAATTCATCTGGATGTCAAAGACAGAAGACTGAGGTTAAACGCTTTGAGAGACATCAGCATAGTTCAATGATTTATATCCTAATTTTCCAGACACCAAGAGTGCTTTTGTTCTTCACGATACAACACTTCATCCCAGTGGAGCCACTTTCCGCCACATTAAAAGCAGGATTCTAAATGTGGGTAAACTCTCATGTCTGCTGTGGCCTGAGGAAAGTGACAAAGACAGAAACACGCCAGGCTGGTGGCATGGTGTACAGAAAACCTTTATGAGAGAGCTTGCAGCTGAAAAATCTGCCTAACAAATGAATTCTGGGTATTTGGACCAGCTGTATTGGGTTGCTATTGAGAACATTCTCTGGGAATATGCATAATTATCCTGAACTCAATTTTAAATTCTAAATCAGGCCGGGTACAGTGGCTCATGCCTGTAATTCCAGCACTTTGGAAAGCTGAGATGGGAAGGTCACCTGAGGCCAGGAGTTCGAGACCAGCCCAGACAAAATAGTGAGACCCCTGTCTCTACAAATAGACAAAATAAAAAATAAATAAAATGCTAAGTCAGAAGATCTAAGGTGTGATGACATTCAGTGGTCTACAAACTTCTGCTCAATAGAGATCACTTGGATTGAAATATAAAATTAAGCCAGAGATCAGAGAACATGGATGGGCACAAAAATGACCACATAATTATAATAAATACACCAGTCAGAATTACACTTTGAAACTAATGATGATTCTATGTACAAATGGGAATTGTGCGAAAAGAGTTCAGTGTCTTATTACAAAATAAGCTTCCCAGTTATGGAGTGGCACAGTACACTCATGGAATCCCAGTCCTGTCCAACCTCTTTTTTCTAAGTCACACTCCTGGGTGTGCAGAATTAGCTGATTGTAGCTCTTTGATCCTCTCCCTTGAGACTTTGGATACACTAAAGATGATGTTGTTCCTGGTAAATTTTAGCTTTAAGACTTCACAGATTAACGGTTTTTTGTAAATTCATTCTTTTATCTGTATCACTTTTTACCTACTCCTGCCGTGTCCTTAAAGATCAAAGTAGGGCCAGGTGCAGTGGCACATGCCCATAATCCCAGCACTTAGGGAGGCTGAGGTGGGAGGATTGCTTGAGCCTCGGAGTTTGAGACCAGCCTAGACAACACAGCAAGACCTCATCTCTATAAAAATAATAATAAAAAATTAACTGGGCATGGTGACGTACACCTGTAGTCTCAGTTACTCAGGAGGCTTAGTCAGGGTCTAACCCAGGAGGGTCATTTGAACCCAGGAGGTTGAGACTTCAGTGAGTCATGATCATGCCACTGCCCTCCAGTTTGGGTGATAGGGAAAGAGAGAGAGGTGGAGAAGTCTGAAAAATCATACACAGTGAGGGGATATTAGACATTTTTGTATTCTCAGCATCTAGCCCTGTCTCTGGTACAAACAGATTCTCAAGGAAAAGTGTCTTATAAGGTTTCTAAATTAAAACCTAAAGAATATCTGGGTTTTTTGGTTTGTTTTTAAGACTGTATAGCATCACTCTTCTTTACTTAGTAAACCCAGAAAGTTGTTTGTAACACAAGCACAATTTTACATTAGAATTTTCCAGAAGCATATACGTGTTTAGGATAGACATGATTATCTGTGGGATACCACAGACAGGGAAGAACTATAACCTTGGTTTTTTATCAGTACAAAGCTACCCTAGGATTAAATCCACATAAGTCAATGCTGGATATTTTCATTAAGACCTGGACCACAAAAGGAACCACATATGGAGTTGTACAGGAAAATGGAAAATGTTCCGTTAAATGTGTGGGAGGCAGATGTGCTGTGGTCAGAGCATCTGAAACTGGCCACCAGGTCAGCAGTGAGCAGCTCTTCAAGCCACTTACTATCACTAAGCCTCAGTTTCCTCTTCTGGGAAACAGGTATGTCGTTCACACCTCTTAGAATTAACTGGAACAGCACGTGGCAAAGGAATTTCAATGGTCAAATTGTTATGAATGTCAATTTGTTATACATGTTTTGGCTGCACTATTACTTGTTAGGATTTCTGTGGTTATTATACAAGAAAAATTAACCAGCTTCTCAAAGCACTACAGAAAAGTGTAGAACTCTAGTTTTCTGTGGCTTTGATTACTGAAGTTCTCCACCTCCAGGGTAATGTGAAGCCATGGGGCTGCATACCAGCGCCTTTGTTACAATTAAGAGAAGTAATTACTCCATTCTTTGTTTTTGAATCAACATGCTTTAGAAAACAGGAGTCAAATCAACTCAACTCTCCTTAGTACTCTCCAGGGACAAAGAAAGTAAGTGGATTGCTGTAAGCCGGCCACTCTTAAAGAGTGCTTCCCTTTCAAAGAAACTGACTATGTCCTAGCTATGTGTCAAGTAAGATAAGAGCCATTTAGGAGTGGTGTGAAAATTAACAAGCTGCAAACAACAGACAATAAAATGTTATTGCTAGATAGATCCTGCAGCCCACAAATGACTTGACCACAAACCACATGACAAAGATAAGGCCTGGTCAAGCAGCCAGGAACTCACTCTCCACCTTCATTGAAGATAGCCAAGGGCTGAGCAGAGACATGCCCTGAGGCGAAGACTAGTATCTATTTCTACTTGCTGGGAGGAGGAAACAGGGATGTAACAGGAAAAGCAGGAAGTAAAGACAAACAAGAGGAAAACTCCAACTCTCTAGCCAGATTCCAAAGCCCCAGGCATGCAGACAGCCAGCCAGGCCAGTGCTGACCTGGCAAAGCGCTGCGCAGCTGGCATGACCTTGATTCCGGCTCGCTCTATCCTTTTACGCTTTTGAATTTCGGTGGCATCTTTTTCTTCAGCCTTGACAGTGCCTTCTGCAGCAGGCAATTCTAACCTGCCATCAGAAGGCTTCCCAACAGGATTCAGGTGGCCAACGGGGTCCTCTTCACCAGGAGACCCCGTGTCGCTTCCCTCTTCCTCTATCGTGTCAGGGTAGCTAGTGAGTTGGACAAGACGGTTTACCAAACTAATAGATGGGGCTGGGGAGCAGACCACATGTCACCTCCCCCCGCCATCCTGATATCACTTGTCCCTTTAAAAAAATAAGTCACAGCATACACTAGGATCCTGAAACTGTGAAGAAAATTCAGTACCACCATTTGTTAATTCATACAGTGCATCATTCTCTCAACATTAAGAGCTATTCCAAATGATACTGAAAGACAAAAACCTTTTCTGCTGGAAAGGTAACATTTGTTAGCTTTTTTCAATCATTAAAATTTTAATAAAAGGCTTCTTCAACGAAAAATCATAGCTAGAAAAGACAGACTATTAGAAAAGTTTGTTTTACTAGAAGGTTCTTGAAGGCAGGAATTCTGTCATATTTATTTATTTATTTATTATTTATTTATTTTTTGAGTTGGAGTCTCACTCTGTTGCCCAGACTGGAGTGCAGTGATCGCTCCCAGCCACTGCAGCCTCAACTTGCTGGGCTCCGGCGATCCTTCCGCCTCAGCCTTCCAAGTAGCTGGAACTACAGGCGC